AACATAACTAACCCTTACAAACCAAACTATAGAACTCTAAGAGCAGCTCACTTCTTCTAAGCAATATGAAGGACAAACCTTCACACATGACCAGTCTCCACTGTGCATATTATTAGTTCACCTGCTTGTGCAGAGCTTGGTAATTAGATCGTTCTATGCTGGTCCTCTCGAAATGTGTTAGATAACATTACCAAGCATAGTTGTAAAGAAGAGGCACTGGTTGGATCATAAGTGCCATGATTGAACACCTCGTCAACACCTGTCACAGCATCTTCACTCACTCATTATTCAGAATCATTTACTTACAAAGTAAACAAAAGTGTGCAGAGACAGAGTGTTTCCGACTTCTTTCTACTGAAGTAGCCCTCACCAAATGAATTGAAAAATCGGAGTTGTGTGTTAAAAAGAGAATAGTCCGACCGCTACATTTACCATGGATCTAATTCGATTTGATTCCTTAGTTTTCGTTTTTTTTTGTTTTTAATTTCCTTAAAAACCTATTTTACATATAACGCAACTATTTACTAATCCCTGTGTAATTTTATTTCTAAATCACTTGTAATCGATATTTATGCCTTTAAAGTTTCATATTAGGTTGAAAATTATTACCACCTTTAATCGCCTTCGTTATTACACAGAATAAAATTAAATTATAATTGTATCTATGTAAACTTATGATAATTAAAAGCAGTTAGTTCCCTTTATGAATTTCGACAACACAATAAGAGGAGACGTAGTTTATCTGAAACGTGTCATGTATCGACGCAACACATTTCGGACATTCTGATCACACACGTACTTGTCATTCATAATTTTTATAGAAGGCAAGAAGGCATGAATAATTACAATACAGGTCAGAATGTGTACAGGTCAAGGTCACAAATAATGGGCAGGGAAACGCAAAAGGTGTGGGTGGGAAAGATGAAAAGAGAAAAGAGAAAAAACAAGGCAAGAGGGGTTGAAAATATTATGAAGTAAATTGGCCCTTGATTCTAGCTTTGATTACCAAGGCAGGTTTAAGGTGATAACTTTTGGGCGCATAAGACAGGCTTTAATGAATTTAAGTGTGTGGCCTAACCTTGTTTTATATATCGGCTTAAAGGCATTGTTGAAGTCAACCTTGTGACCGTCTCTATAATATTGCTTCGCTACAGATGATATTGGACATCTATTTCCGGGGTCAATTGTGTCTGGCAGTTTTATTTGTTGGAATGTGTTCTGTAGCCCTAACCTGCAGAGACCGATGGGTCCTCCCTAAGTACGTGCCTCCACACAAACATACACACACAAATACACTACATTACACACGTTTCAGATAAACTACGTCTTCTTATTGTGTTGTCGAATTTTATGATTGTATATAAATGCTATTGTACAACTGCTTTTGAGGATAAAATCAACACAAAGGTGATTGTCTTTGCTGAACTTCTTGTCATTTTCTTTCTAATGTCCTGATGGGTATTTTCCACGATCAAAAAAAATATATTAACAAACATAAAGAAGAAAATATTGATTAGTGAGAAGAAGCAACCAAAAGGCTTTAAATTGTTAATTCTTAATTTGTAGTAATTTCTAAGCTTCTATTCAATGAAACTGTCTACTCCAGAATAGGATTGTTCATTTCTGTCTAGATACATCATCAAAAACAAATCAGAAAACTTGAGTAAGCAGTTTCACACCATATTCGTTGTGCAAGAAGTGGCTCCTAAGGCCTGCTGCATATCTCTTCGAACTTTGAAGAGACAAGTGCAGGTGCATCCAGTTGATGAGTCTCAAGCAGGACGAAACACATCCTTTGGATCCCATTGAAAACCTTCATCAACCAAATAGCACAATATAACAATTGCAATTGAACTGATGCGAAAATATCTCTGAGTGGAAGGTGTGTCAGCGTTATAATGTCAACTAATTTTACCCATGGTTTTCGTGTGGTTAATTAGTTTCCAAGTTTTAGTCCATAGAGGTTTGATTTAACGATTGAAAACCAGGGTGTACAGAACAGTTGCTTCTTTCTTGTTTGGGACTCTTCAGCAGTACGTCCTCATGACCCCACCATCGATCCAATCCAAAATCTTCAGGTTACAAGGCGAGCTCATAGACCAATGAGCCACTGGGACGAATATATAGTGTTTTATCAATTCGAACTTCTGTCAATTCTCGAGATACGGCACAATCACCATCCAGTGTCATCTGCAAGTATTCCTCCTCATACCCACTTAGGTATCACTGAATAATTCTCTAACTATAGTCATTTCTTTTTGAAAAACACTTGAAATCAATCGAACCCCTGTTAGCCAATTCATGAAAATTAATCTAGTACTCATTAGTGCTTGACTACAGGATAAAGTAGTTGGCTGAAGTTCCAGTGGGAAGTCGTACGTAACCAGTGGTGTCCACCAAGCTGGGTGTCAGACAAATGCCTTCCGTGATATTGGATGGTGGTTGTGCTATACATCGTGTATTGGCAGGAGTTAGAATTCATGGGCCACTGGATTAGATTTTAATGGGTGGATGATTAATGAGCTCACCTGGTAACCTGAAGATAGTGGGTTCCATCCAACAAGTAGAGTTCATCGGTGTATCCTGCTAAGAAGACTCAGTCTAGGAGGAAGTAGGTGTTGAGTACTCTCCAGAGTTCAATGGTTCTCTGAATGGTACCAATTCATGATTAATCCTGAAATTAATTACTTGACTATGTATCTTTTGCACAAAATGATGATGAATGTAGGGGAGGAGTCGTTGAAATTTAATACATCTTTCTTTGAGTCAGACATAGTTGAAATATCATAAGCGAATTCCTACTTCTGCCAATTCACAATATGGCGCGACTGGTATCACTTAATGTTACTACTGGCGAGTATCTGTCCTAATACCAAGCCGATGTCAGTTCATGATGGAATCCTATAACCAATTAAATCTCTGAAAACCAACACTTGAATACTGAAACCACACTTGAATATATAGAAGTATGCTTGTAAACCTGCTAAAGTAATCATTTAAAAGACTGAAAAACACTGGAAACCAACAAGTTATCTAGTTAACTGGACTACAGGCGTGCATCTTTTCACGTATCCCTTTCCTGTTATACGTCAGTATATTGCATAGAATAATAATTATTATTATTCCTTGGGTTCTGAGTGGAACATAGGGCTTCAGCAACACATCTCCACTTAGTCCGATCTTCTGTTGTCCTCTTCAGCTGGGTCCACGACTGCGCATAATCTCTTATCTCTTCCTCACACGATCTTCTCCATGTCACTCTAGCACTGGCGATCCACTTGTCGGTTCCCATCAGGACTCCACTTGAGGGCCTGGAGCGCTATGACATTCGAAGGTCTTCCCAGTGTATGCCCGATCCATCTACATTTTCTCCTACATATTAGTTGATCTATCGGCTCTTCTTTGGTTTGTTCATCGCCAGAGTTTCTTGTTACTTATTCTTCCCAGTCAGCCAGCCAACCATTTGATCTTGAGCCATTGAAGGCAGCTGTTGATAAATGTCTGCAACTGGCTGTTGGAAATGCTTTTCGTGACATGCAATTTAAATTTCTGACCGGCATGGAAGGACCGACTCGACTTTGGCCTTGAAAATCTAAATCTTGTTCCTTATGCTGAGTGCAGAAGATTTCCAAGATGTTTTCAGGTTGATGAAAGCGTATCTTGCTTTTCGTTGGGAATATTCCCCCCTTCTTGATTCTTAGGTACCTTTTACAGTAGTTGAACTTTCGTTAATCAGTTTTGTCTTACAGTACTAGTTTTTGTATTCATAAACCGATATCATCAGTATGGTAACTGCCTGACGGTACTGTTGAGGTGAATTCGAGTTTTGATGTTACTCATGTTGTTGAATAAAACCGTTAAAATAGTGAAGAAGAATAATCGTATTTTCCTTGCCTTTGGAACGTTTTGTGATAGAGCGTGTCTCAAGGAAGTTTTGTCCGCTATAAGACACAAGAAGGTGGAGTTCGCTTTCTTAAATTCAGATACACCATAACTGAATAAATTTTTCAAAAAAATCGGTCCTCTAAACTTATATATGTATATATTTGTCAATGAAACCCAATCCAATGGTCATGAATTCCAACTTCTGCTAATTCGTGAAATACATTGAGCGAAACTACCAACCTATATCACTGGTGAGTTCCTCTCCTCTAGCCTTACTTGGTGAACCCCACTGATTACGATTTTTCCCTGGAACCCAAATGGATCGAGTTTCCATGTCTTAATGACAAGCTTTCATTTCCTCAAGTCTGTGTGGAGATCAACAGCACTACTCAGCTTGAAAAATAAGATCCAGATTTTCAACTCCAATGTGAAGTCAGTGCTACTTACTATAAGGATCAGATACTTAGCCAGTGCGTCACGAAGAGCACTTCAAACAAACTACACACCTTCATCAACATATGTCTTCACTCAATACTACCCAGGATAAGATGGCCGGCCAGCGCGAACGAACCAACCCCGCAGGAACCGATTGTGCAAGAAATATCCAGGAAGAAATGGAGGTGGATTGGCCATATTCTGAGGAAACCATCAAGTGACATCACATGCCAGGCCATCACTCGAGTGGAAGCCGAATGGGAAGCGGAGAGTTGGTGGTCAGGTGAAAACGTTGGGGGAAGAAACGAACGTACTGGAGATGTGGGGCTGAAGCCCTATGTTCCTCTAGGAACTAAAGGAAACAATAATAATATACTAATGGTCCACGACCTTGCCTTGTAACCAGAAGGTCCTGAGTTCGAATACCAGTTGATGTTTAATGATGAAGGGGTCAAAACAAGGCTGATGAAACATCTGTTCAGTGCCCCCAATCGGTTTTCCAATGGTTGTCTAACCAATATCAGCTAATGATCAATCCTGTAACCAATCAAATCCCTGGAAACTAACATTTGACAAAATATATATGTATATATGCATTAAAACTTAAAATTTCGTTTTAAAGTCAATAATTTAAAATTCTCATGAATATAAATTTTGTTTGTTTCATTTTTATGTCTCACCTTCTACAAGAATAGATTTATTAAATGAATATATAACACGGTCACTTGTATACTCTTTAAAAGTACACTGGACAGTAGCTTCACCCACTGTGGTAAATTTTTGACTACCTTTAGGCGGATGAATTATTCCTTTACCGCGACACATTTCTACAGTCAGTATCTCATTTGATTGACCTTTAATAATCTCTATATTCCAATAACCACTGTATACGCCATCTTCTAAACTTTTTGGTAATAAATGACATTTCATTGGTCTATATGTTCCATTGAGTATTATTATACCGGAGTTATCAATACCATTTAAACTGCCTTCCATACTTTCATCTATTAAAATTGAAATAAATAAACAAAAAGTACACCAGAGGTATAAACTTCAGTCACTAAATATAAGAATAAAACTTGGGCACTGTGGTGGTAGAGTATAACTCCATCATAGAGAAGATATCATTTTGATAAAACCATACAGTGTTCTTATACAGTAATATTTACTGATGACCACGTTTCGAGCACAATGTATTGCTAGTCATAATCATTTCAAGGCAATACTCACATAACTTTCTATACATGAGTAAAAAGTTAATTAGACATTTGAATAAAATCAATATAAGATGATAAAGTACATTCAGAAATAATAATATAAGTGTTATTGATCATTCAAGTATTGGTTTTGTAGGGATTTTGTTTGATTGCATGGAGGATTTAATCATGAGCTGACATCAGTTAGAGAACCACTGGAAAACCTGGGAGTACTGGACAGCTGTTTCGTCCTAGTTTGGGACTCTTCAGCAGTACGCACCCACCGGGACTCGAACCCAGGACCTTCTGGTTACAAGGTGAGCTCGTAGACCATTGAGCCACTGGGACCCGATCCAATGGTCCTTGAATTCTAACTTCTGCCAATTCACGACATAGCGCGACCACTTCACAATGTCTTCTTCCATGAGTTACTGCCTCATCTCCAACCTGCTGTAGTGGGAAGCCTTGACCAGTAGGGTACAGCAGGTTGAAGATGAGGCAGTAACTCATGGAAGAAGACATTGTGAAGTGGTCGCGCTATGTCGTGAATTGGCAGAAGTTAGAATTCAAGGACCATTGGATCGGGTCCCAGTGGCTCAATGGTCTACGAGCTCACCTTGTAACCAGAAGGTCCTGGGTTCGAGTCCCGGTGGGTGCGTACTGCTGAAGAGTCCCAAACTAGGACGAAACAGCTGTTCAGTACTCCCAGGTTTTCCAGTGGTTCTCTAACTGATGTCAGCTCATGATTAAATCCTCCATGTTATTGATCAATTTACAATAAAACGGGAAATAAGATGTTTTTATAGTAAAATAAATAACTCGTCAGAATGTTATAAAATATGTGAATTGCAATGGAATTTTAAGATTATTTATTATCCTCCTCTGATTTGACTGACCGGTGGTAATAATATCTTCCATATACCTCTGGTATCTGTGTTGAGTAACATCTATTGCCTATGTTGGGTGTAGGTAGACTCGATGAACCAGGACTCAGTAATTAGTCTCTCTCGCTCTCCACCTACCTATATTACTTCTTAGAATTTTGACTCTGTTCTACTCGCCCTATTGTGTGGTTGTGTGTTAATGCATGCAGTGCAATGCAGTGTTGAGTGTTTTTCAAAACTACTGATTGACCTTCGCGGGGTCAATCATTCTAACCTTAGCTACTAAATTCTTATGTTCTCATAATCTCCCTACTCCTGATCTACTAGTTTGACTTATGTAGTTGACCTAACTCACAGTCATTGCAAGGTGTTTTGTGAATTATACAATTATTTCCTTTAATTCCTAGAGGAACATACGGCTTCAGCTGCCCAAGTCTCCATTGCGTTCGGTTCTCTGCTAGAGTTTTCACCTGGCTTCAAGTCTGCCACTCACATGCTTTCATCTCCTCTTCACGTGACCTCCTCCATGTCATCTTTGCATTGACGACCAACTCGCCGCTTCCCTTTCGGCCAGGTTCCACTCGAGCGATGGCTTGTCTAGTGATGTCACTCACTTGATGGTTTGTTTTCTTCATTTCTTCCTGCTTATTTGTTTCACAATCGATTCCTGGTTGGTTGGTTGGTTCGCTCATTTCCAGAGATCCCTGTTGCTGACCTTTTCTGGCCATCCGATCTTGAGTATTGAGCGAAGAAAACTGTTAATGAAGGTCTGTTGTTTGTTCGAGGCGCTATTGATGACGAGCCAAGTCTCTGATCCATATAGTAGCACTGAATTCACATTGGAGTTGAAAATCCGGATCTTATTTTTCATGCTGAGTTCTGAGTGTTGACCTCCACACAGACTTGGGAGAAATGAAAGCTTGTCTTGCTTTCCCATCCTCGCTTTGATATCCTTGCCAGTTCCGCCTGCAGTTGAAACGATGCTTCCCAGGTAGGTGAAGGAGGTTGTTTCTTTCAGGTTCCTCCCATATATGCTGATTTGTTATCTGTTGTTGTAGTAGTTTGAATAAGTAGCCTTTCTTCCAATCCTTGGGTACCTTGCCCTCTTTTCACACCTTCTCCAATAGTGGTGTCATCAAATCCGCTGTTGTCTCGTAAATTATATTATTTGGTCTAATTGGGTCAACTGAGTCCTTTGACCTACACAGCTTGTAGGTTTGCTGGTTTAAATGCCACTAATTTCTGCTTTATGAAGAATCCCACGTAGGGTCTCAGATGTCCCCTCCTTATATGGAATAAATGTAGATGCCTGATATTCTCCCTTATTTATTTTTTCATTACAAGTTTCCTCATTATTTTTATTTTGCTTTTGGACTTTACTCATCTTCTCAATGAATTTTAAAGGATAGTTAGTTATTTGACACTGACGCTCCTCTTTCTATGTGTTTTATTTCATCATTTAGGTCTTTTCTTGTACTACTTAGTGCTACTGCTCGGTTTGTTAGACAGGCCTTAACTAAGCCTGCCTTAACAGTTAACAGATGAGATGAATTAAAGTCTAAATATCTATTAGCAGAATGAGTTGGCTTTTAATAAACGCTAGTGTGTGCAGTTTATCTTCTGTTTGTTTTATTTTACAGTCTAACATGATAGGTAATTCTTCTTGTTCACCAACGACCACAGATATTGAATTAAATTCATAGTGGAATTTTCTTGAGTTTTTTGTGAGTTACTGTAGTAAAATGAGGTCTCTCTTAGTTGATGGGTCTTGTAAATCGGTTAGAAGACCATCAGACTAGTAATTCAATGGCAGCTGGTTTGAATCCTTTAACGATTATTTCACGTTTCAGCATCAACCATGATGTCAAAAAGATCGCAAAAAACAGGCTGCCAGTCTCTCCCGACTTACTAGTTGGTCCAAAGTCCAGAAAATATGACCACTTGTGTTTAGGCTTTGCAACCGTAATCCCAAACAAAAACTACCCCATTGTTACTAGAACTTGGATACAAAGAAACTTCAGAGTTAACCGAAGAATGTTTCACCATAAATGAATAAACTGCTTGTCAACTTTTGAATTAAGTATGATTAGGATTGAAAGGAGAAAAACCATCCAGACATCTATTGTGACAACAAATGGATATTAAAGTATCATTCGTTTACATAACAGCTGGCTATTATTCATGGTAGTTACTGAAGTGAAATGATGTCATGGTTAGCAGTTGGGTCTTGTAAATTGGCTAGTAGAGACCATCAGACTAGTAATTCGGAGACAACTGGCTTGAATCCACCGAAAACACATTTGATCATTTCACTTTTCAACATCATCCGTTACTTCAGAAAGATCGTGCTGTTTTTCCATTCATTTTTTAAAATTCCTTTACATTCCCAGTGGAACATAAGGCTTCAAGCTACAGCTTTTAAGTTTCTGTAGCAGTGGTGTTTATTTTCACGGGATGAGGTTGCCGCCAGCCTTATGCACAACCTTCCTTCTTCATTAGTCTTATTACTGGCTTAGCAAGGTAAAGGAGTGCATCGGCGACCGGGGATCGAACCACTGACCGGATGCGTGGTTGGCGGAAATCCTACCGCTGTGCCACCAAAGAACTTTCTATTCACTAGAAAATACAAAAAAAACATCAACAACTGGATGCTAGACCACCTGGTTCAATGTGACCGGCCAAAAAGCAGGCTAGCACTGAAAAAATCCTTCGCCATTATCATCTATCGGCTTTCAAATAAAGTGCCGAAATCATCCAACAGAGGCCATTACGATTCAACTAAAATAACCAATGCTCTGTGTGGAGAAGAAACAAGTCCAGCCACTACTAATGCCCTCGCCGGTCTTCAGTGAAGACTTTAAATTAATGAATCCTGTATTATCATTATTTTTCCTAATTTGTCTCATATTCAGTGTAGTATAGTGTTATGTTCATACATATTATTACTCTCACACAGATGCTATTGAATTGTAATCTATTGATATTATTGATTGATTTGATGTTACTTGAACAACATTAACATTGCTAATAAGCCTAATTCTTTCACCATTATTATGGATGCATATAACTGTAGCACCTGATGAAGAAAAGGTTATCGAAAAGAATATTATTTTGCTCAGTATTGATCAATCTTTTGATCTCTTCTTTGTCCCTTATATTTCAAGCGGAACACAGTTCCTTCAAAGTTTCTTTAAAGTTGTAGTAAAGAAGGGGTTATTGCTTTTATATTGGTAAGGTTGGTAGAATTACATTCCAACTATTCTTTCTCTTTCACTCTTACTACTGGCTAGCGATTTACTCGATATTTAGTAATGCGTTCATCCAGTATTCAGCTTGAATTTTAGATTTTCCCGTCGATTGATTGGACCGAAGTGCTCGGTCTCAGGTTGACATATTTGTTAGTTTCTTGTGCAGATACCTCGACGATGTCCGGGCATGTAATTAGAAGTTAACTGGTGGATGGTGAATAGTAGCGGAATCCAGGATAAAGCACATTTCGTCCTATTTGGGACTCATCATCTGGATGTGCCTGCATTCCCCAGTGAGTGATGATGTTCCCACCGAGGCTCGAACCCAGTGCTCATGGTTTTAAACGCCAAAGCGTTATCCACTAGACCACTTGGGCCACGACAGCCACCGTCTCTTGCGCAACGAGTCATTTTAACTATTTACATCCAGATGACGAGTCCAAAATAGGACGAAATGCGAATCATGGATCGCACTGCTAGTCACCATCCACCAATTAAGGATTATTATTATTATTAGACTTGTGGATATGTTCCACATTTTGATGAGTATCAGTTGTTCAGTGGTAGGGAGCTCGCCAACTACGCACATGCTCCACTTTCGATTCCGGCTGACTCACTCTTAAACCTCGTCTAGTTGAACAGACAACAAAAAATCTGGGAAAATGGGAAGGCTAGATGTGATACCAGGAACTTCATCCGATGCAAACAAAACCATCTCTTTCAAAGATTTATTCCCCTTAATGAATCTGAATAAAGCAAGAGCAGCAGTTTTCGCAGAATAAAAGGCTGTCATCATTTATTTCGTTTGCTTCCCATCAAATTATTGACGGCATCATCGAAGGAGTGGGCGGGCTTCAGTTCTCAATTTTGAAATAAGGGATTCTATTGATACAATATGTGATTTTGTAATACGTCAAAGATTTTTGAGAGATGGCGAGGAAATCAGTGGGACCGCAAGCATTCATCATATGAAATTTCTGAAAAATCATCTCTCACCCCCCACAGAACTTTTTTCAAATAACTGAATCACTTTGTGACAATTTGTTGCAGAATATTCAGAGAAGTGTGACTCAATTGAAGTTTTACGATGAGTGCTCGCAGTTCCATTGCTTTCCTTGCTATCTTTTGAAAATCCTCCACGTATAACAAAATCGCATACTGGATCAACAGTATCTCTAATTTTAAGATTGAGAACTGAAGCCCACCCGATCCTTTGACAGTGTGGTCAATACTTTGATGAAAAGCTAACGGAATAAATTATCAAAAGAATGGATACTGAACAAAGAATACTCTTTTCGATAACTTCATCATCAGGCTCTATAGTTATTTGCATATTATAGTAAATAAATGAATTAGTGTAATGGACAACATTAATGCTGTTTAAATAACATCGAATCAATAATACTGATAGATTACAGTTCAATAGCATCAACATAACAATTAACTGAATGTCAGAAAAATTAGGAAGGATAATATTACAAATTCATGAGTTTATAGTCTCTACTGAAGGCCAGGGCAGTAGTAGGGGCTGAACTTGCTTCTTTTGAACACAGATCACTGGTTGTTTCACGCGAATTGCGATAGCCTCTGCTGTTAGAAGCAATTTATTTGGCGCCCGGTAGATAATAGGGAAGGATTCTTCCACGCTAACTTTGTGACCAGTTTGCACCAGGTGGTCCAATATCGAACTGTTAATGGCCATACTGGAAGATGTTCTTGAGCTAGCACGAAAAATCAGGTTTCTAGAGCAACGACCAAAATAACTCGCTCCATTAAAAGCGCAGCTGAATTGGTAAATACAATTAAAATGGTTAGCTAGACTAGGTACTTCATCTTTCAATCGAGGAATCACCATCGGTCGTGTAGAGAATAAGACGTGTAGTTCGCCAGCATTAAAAGTTCTTTGAAGTGATCTTCTTAATTTCTTCGTAATTATTTCACTTGGTATATCGCCCTTGAATTGTAGTCGTATATAAAGCGGCTTCTTGTTTACGGATAGTGAGTAGTCCTTTTCAACTTTCTTTGTCATGTGTTCCCGATAAATTTTTCGGGATATCTAATTTCAATCAGTCAAGTTATCATTTACAATACTTAATTCATCTTCAGTTACCTCTTCTGAGCATATAGCTCTAACTTTGTGGCTGAGGTAGCATTTACTCAGCAAAAACTGTTGTTCTGGCTTTATTCAAACGCCATCTGTACTGAAATTTCAAAGCTCAAGGCTTAAAGCCACCCACCTACCGTCAGACACACACACACACCATCCCCTTTGTTCCATTTGTAACATAAATTAGTCTTTAAAAGAGAAACAAAATATTACCTGCACAATTTGAAAAAGGCGCACTTACCTATAATACTTATTGTTTTATTAAATGTAAATTCTATCTGATATCTAACATATCTGTAGGTACATTCAATTGTTACATTACCTTTAATTTTATAATATAATTCACAATATGGTGGTCGTATTACAACTTCATTATTACTGAGATCTAATGAAATGATTCACTCGACAATTTTGATGATGAATAGACAATACGTCCTGTCCAATAACCTTCTGATTGATATTGTGCTGTTTTTCCTTGTAATATGCCACATTTATAGACTTTATTTGAACCAATAGGAGCAATTATATCTGAACTATCAATACCATTTAATGTACCCTTTCTTTCTAAATCTTGATTTATTTAGAAGGCAGAAGAAAAGGCAAAATATTAATCGATAATATCAACAATAAAAGGGTGCGAATGATATTACTGAAAGGATTTCATCATGAGCTGAATCAGCTAAATAACTATTGGAAACCAGCACTCGACCTTCTGGACAGTCAAATCTTTCATCAGCGTAGTTTGAAACACACCACCAGCACGAACTCACCCTATTGCTAAAGTTCGAACCCACGACCAATGGGCACCGAATTCTCAGAAGCCTCCATTTTATGTACTCTAAATTTCCACAGGTTGGATGTGAGGCCATTACTGTCACTGACTGTTGCCAGTTGGGCCATAACGTGGGCTGGCAACTACTGAAGAGGCAAGTCCCAGTGACTTAATGGTCTACGAGCTCGCCTTGCTACCGGAAGGTCTTGAGTTCAAACCCTGGCAGTGGAGTAGGCGCGTCTTACAGATAATAATAATAATAAAAATAATTTGCTTCATTCCAAAACAGTACTTGTGATACAAAACGGAATTCTCAGCATTTCATTACAGTATTGCGCATCCAGTTAGTACATTAACAATGAACAAAATTCTACATAGATTATGGGTATTCTCAATTAGTTTTGACAACAACATATTGGCATGTCGGTAGCAAAGCCAAAATTGAACAGAGTGTTTGAAGGTGCTAGAAAAGTAGGTTCTAGCATATCTACAGGTGTAAGCGGTGACAAAAAGAACGAAGAAGAATGTTTTATGTACAGTTTGTAAGGAAGAGAGAATTAAAGCAGCACATAACAGAAGAAAAGGGAGAGATAGAAAAGGAAAAGAAAGAAAGAAAAACGTTGTACCTATAAATGATATGAGTTGGAAAGACGAGATCCAATTGTTCTACTGACTATTTATTAAATTATAAGTTCCACCCCTAATGCTTTTTATTGCACAGAACACGAGCTAAGTAGGGTATGGTTGAGTTTTTGTACTTACTAGTGCGAGCATATAGTTTTCTATATAGGCTTCTGGTCTGCCTGCCTGATGAGATACAAGGGGAGAGTTGTGAATGAAGATGGTGGTGTGAGTTAGATAGATAGAATGGATTTAGCCCATTTTCACATGAGTCCAAGTGCCTGTCAACCAGAATATTAACAAGCTGGTTAAGTGGCACATTGCTCACCCTGCTGACAACCTTTAACATCCTGCGTAATAAGGTATAGTCTTTTTTCAGTAGCCCAGGAAAAACTAAGGGGAACAATAGAGAATAATAGGTAGGATGTAAGAGCTAACAAATCGTAGAAAGGGTTGGGTTGAGTTATACCAGAATGTCTTAACTTCTTAATGTAGAAGATGGAACGGAATATTTTCTTAGAAATCATCAAGATATGAGATACAAATACAGATGATTCCTAGACTAGGCTGACGACACAGCTGGCTGACCAGCACACCCTTGTGGTTTCCCAATGATTCTCTAACCGATGAAATCATGTAATCAATCGAATCTCAGTAAAACAATACTTGAGTGATACTATTGTTTTATCATTAATCATAGGCTACGTTTATGTAAAATCTCTGAATAATAAAATTACATATAAATTATAACATATGGAACCCTGAAAAGGGGACTGTAAAGTTTTTGTCAGATGTTACAAATGGACAGATTGTAGATAACTTTTGTTTAAAACGACTTCGTTGTAAAATATGTATTTTTTTCCTCTGGCGTACAAATAAAAATATAGGCGTACTGTTCGTGACTTTATCTTCTCACCTGTTCCTACTATCCTCTTGCTCCTCTAATCCCTCCTTGTTGTATTCTTTGAATTTGCATAAAACATTTCATTCTCATCCGAAGACTATTCACAACAACAATTGGCAGACAACTTTTACCAGTGAACACAGTCCCTGCAGTGACTTAGATCTATGGATTATATTTTTAATTTGAAGCAGTTGGACTGTAACTGTATTTTCAAGTAACCATTAACTTTAGTTACAGGATTTCGTCATGAGCTGACATTGGTTAGAGAACCGTTGGAGAACCTGAGAGTACTGGAGAGCTGTTTCATCTCAGTTTGGGACTCTTCAGAAGTACGCCTCCCACCGTGTTTCGACCCAGGACCTTCTGGTCACAAGGCGAGTTAGCTCGTAGACCATTCTGCCACTGGGAGTCGATCCAGTTGCCCATGAATTCTAACTTAATTCTAATGGTCTACGAGCTCGCCTTGTAACCAGAAGGTCCTGGGTTTGAACCCAGGTGGTGCGTACTGATAAAGAGATCCAAACTCGGATGAAACAGCTCTCTAGTAATCCCAAATTTTCTATTGGTTCTCTAACCAATATCAGCTCATGATGAAATCCTGTAAACAAACAGTCAAATCCCTACAAACCAATACTTGAAACATTAACTTTGATAACTCTATAACTGTATTTCTATAATATACTGAGTCAATATTCTTCCACTGGCTTGAACTTTAATTCTGATATTTCATACAGATATTTTGTGGCCATAGTTAAATCCATTACAAACATTTTTATTTGTTGAAAATTCCCTCTTTAGGTGCCGAGACATCTCCATTCGACTCACTTCATTGCTGTCACTTTCAAGTGGCTTTAAGAAGACTGACCTGAACAGCCTTTTGATCTCCTCCACCTCACATGATCTTATTCATAAATCCTCGGACGACTAACTGGTTGGTCGTTTCAAATTCGGGTTCCACTTCAAAGTCTGTTGTGTGATATTACTTGTTAAACGCCTTCTCAAAGTGTGTATGTGAAATGCATCTTCATTTCTCTATGCATATTTATTAGTTGAAAGGTTGTTGTCTGTCTCGATACCAGAGTTCTTTATATTATAATTATTGTTCCCTTGGGTCATGAGTAGAAGACAGGACTTCGACAGAATGTCTTCACTTTCTTCTAATTCATACTGTCCTCTTCATCTAGACCAACGATTGCCCATAGCCTCTCATCTCCTCTTCACATGACCTTCCCCATTTCACCCTCGGACTCACATGCGACACGTCATTTTCCGTCCGTGTAACCCTCGATCGACGGCCTGGTTTGTTCACAGAGATTTTGTTGTTATTTCTGTTGATAAAAGTTTGCAATAGCTTGTTGGAAATGCTTTATGTGAGGCACAGCGCAAGTTTCTGATCCATATAGAAGAAGTGACTGACTGCCTTCACATTTGTGTTGAACATAATCCAAATCTCGTTCTTTATTCTTCGGTGGAGCACAGAAGATTTCCAAACAGATTTTTAGAGTGACAGAGGTCTGTTTTGACTTTCTGATTATGCCTTTGACATTTTCATCCATGCTGATGCCTGTAGTTGAAACTGTGCTTCCTAGACAACTCAATGAAGTAACCTCTTTCAAATATCTCTGGTTTACAGCGATTGGTGCTGGTTGTTGTTGTTGTTGGTACGTGCGTGGGTATCTTCATCACTTCCGTCTTCTCTATGTTCACCTGGAGTTCATTGTTGTTGATTTATCCGTTCTGGTTGACCATCTGGTCTTCAGTAAAGAAAAAGTACTGTGACTGTTGATGAAAGTATTCAACAACCTGTTGGAAGAAATACGTTTAGTTATGCTTTCACCAATACTCTAGAACACAAAGAAGCCCTGAGTGATTAAATAGGTCGGTTTCGGAACAAATATTAGCCGAAGACACTCACTAGTAGTCGCTCTATGCTGTGAATTGGCAGAAGTTGGAATTCATTGACTGGCCATTGGACTGGTGAGTCCCATTGTGGTGAGAGCAGGCTGCTAGCCGATTGGTTGGCACTAATCTACGTTAAGGTATAGGTCACTAATATGGGCCGTGAGAAAATATGAACAAGCCTGAGTCAACAACCAATCACAGCAAAGTTAACGTGGCAGAATATGATTCGCAGAGAGAACTCTATTTGTCAAGGAATCCCGAAACAACCAATCAGAAGCCTGCGTTTGTCTACCTAAACAACCAATCAGATGACTGCGCTTGTCTATAATAATGTAGTTGAAAGATGTATAAATACGTGTTGATTTTCATAATAAAACGATCTGTTGCCTGGCCCTTGTCTTCTGTTGTTACACCATTGCTTTTGATAGTCCACGGTCTAGTTCGCCTTGTAACCGCGAGATCCTGATTTCAAACCCTGACAGTGGCCGGGGTGCGTATTGATGAACAGGGCCAAAAGCTAGGCTGACGAAACAGCTGGCTTTCCAATACTACAATGCTGGTTTTCCAATGGTTCTCTAACCCAATCTTAACTCATAATGAAATCCTGTAGTCGATTGATAAAACTATTGTTAGCTTTCAGTCATTATATTATTATTATTAAGAAAACGATACAACAGCCTAATTCCAGATAAATATTCCATATTGGCTTGTTTATTGGATGTATCAAACAGTCAGTGAAACGGTATTATTTACTGGATGACAATATTTTGAACACAATTCATTATTGTTTATAATAATTCCATCAATTATGATCACACTACATTGAAACTTGAGTTTTATAGCTTTCTTTGCCCTCTCCTATTTGTCATAAAGGTACAAGAATTTTCCGGGTATTTGAGACAGGTGTTGAATCATTCCTATCACACGTATTTGCAGTTGATTCGATAAACAAAGCTTCCATTATCAATCTTCCCCACTCGCCACCATGTTACATAAGATTTTAATACTGTCATCTCATTCTATCCCATCATCCTATTGTATGGTTGTGTGTAAATGCATGTAGCAAGTGCTGTAGCTGAACTATTCTCTAGATTTCTTATCTTATTCGGGTCAACTAATCTAGATTTCGCTGCTAGGTTTTTATGCTCGGCTAGTCTGAACGCACCGGTTCTACTATTTTGACCTATGTATTTGATCTGAAACACAATCATTCCAGCAGGGTATTAGATAAACTAAATCGCTTTGTTTAAATTGGTTCCACTGGCAGGATTCTTTAACTGACAAAGCTCGTTTCTAAATGAGTTTGTGGTCAGTTTGAATGACTGTCACTTTTATTCCTGCCTACCTTGTTAAGTATTCTGAGTAAGGTGGTTTCCGAGGTTCCTTCCTTGTATGGAATTACTACTGATGATTTAGATTCCTCATTGTTGGTGTTGTCTTGCGCGTGTTTGACAAGCATGTTGTCAATAATATTACTATTATTATTATCACAGTCACTACTATCTTTATTTATTTTATTTTTACATTTCCCTATACATTTCCTGACTAATTTATCCGGGTAATTATTAAGTTTCAAGGCTTCTTTTATATGTATCACTTCCTGTCTTACATTTTCCTTGGTACTACTTAGTTTTTGTGCTCTGTCACTTAAACATTTCACTAATCCTATTTTCACTGACATAAGATGGGATGATCGGAAATCCGAATATCTGTTTGAATGTGTGGGTTTCATGTAGACACTAGTGTTTAACTTCCCATCTCCTCTTCGTTTTACACTACAATCTGACATTGTAAGCTACCCTTCCTGACTTTCCAAATCATAAGTGAATTGAATTGCCTACACCTTCGAGTTGATGTGTTCGAAAAATCTATCTATATTCTGTGTCCTAAATACAGTGAATGTGTCATCTACATACCTCCACCATACTTTTGAAGTGAAGGTGAACGTTTCAATCTCAATCTTTTCCCACCTATCCATGAATATATCTGCTACAACTGGGGATATTGGTGATCCCATGGCAATTCCCTCACTTTGTTTGTATATTTTCTCTTGGAATTTAAATACTGTGGAAGTCAGGCATAGCAAGCTGCACTCCCAGAATTATTTCCTCAAGTGTCACTTTTGTCCATACTATCGAGTTTTTGGTCAGAAATGACTTCGTTTCTGACCGCCTCTATAGCCATGTTTATTGGTATATTTGTGTATATAAACTGACAATGTCAAAACTAACCATTTTCTCTTCATTATCTTATTTTAAATTATCTAATCAGTGTTTTAGTTCATAGGAATTAGTTAGTCTAGATTTTGAGTGGCGTTTTAGGGAATTTAATACCATGGCTAAATATTTAGATATTCTTGGTCTTTCTGATTGCAGTAGATTGGATAATGCGACAGAAAACGGGCAATGAGGAAACAGGCTTAAAATGGACTCACACAAAACAACTTGGAGGATATGGACTTCGCCGATGATACATGTCTGATTTCCCACAAAATGGAAGATATCCAAGTGAAAAGCAACAAGCTGGCAGAAGAAGCATCCAGCGAAGACAGGACTTCAAGTGAACATAAATGAAACAGGTGATGAAGATTCCTGGCCAACACCAATAGCAACAACAACAACAGACAACAATCAGCCAGCACAAATGGGAGGAACCTGAAAGAGATAACCTCCTTTAGCTACCCACTTACCTGGGGAGCATCGTTTGAACTACAGGCGGACGGAACTGACGAGGATATCAAAGCCAGAATCGAAAAAGCAAGACAAGCTTTCATTACTCTCAAGTCTGTGTGGAGGTCAACAGCACTACTCAGCATCAAAAATAACATCCGGATTTTCAACTCCAATGTGAAGTCAGTCAGTGCTACTATACGGATCAAAGACTTGGCCAGCGCGTCATAAACAGCACACCAAACAAACTACAGACCTTCATTAACACTTGTCTTCGCTCAATACTACTCAAGATCAAATGGCCGGCCAGAAAAGATCAGCAACAGGGATCTCTGGAAATGAGCGAACCAACCAACCAGAAATCGATTGTGAAACAAATAGGCAGGAAGAAATGGAGGTGCATTGGATTAGCCATACTCTGAGGAAACAAACCATCAAGTGAGTGACGTCACTAGACAAGCCATCGCTCGAGTGGAACCTGGCCGAAAGGGAAGCGGCGAGTTGGTCGTCAGTGCAAGGGTGGCTTGGAGGAGGTGGCATGTGAAGAGGAGATGAAAGCGTGTGGGTGGCAGACTTGGAGCGGAGTGAAAAAGTTGGCAGAAAACCGAAGGCAATGGAGACGCACAGCTGAAGCGTATGTTCCTCTAGGAATTAAAGAATATAATAAAAATAAATATTTAGATAATTCATGATTAAGTGAATTTCTAAAATCAACTATAGGTCCAATAGGATAACATAAACATAAAACATCATTACTTACCTATAATGCGAACAATTTTTGTTGTATTTATAATAGTTACAGAATCACTTTTAATAACAGATCGAATTTTAACTAAGCCTGACTTCGCATACACTGAATTTGGTCTTGCTGGCATATATTCATTTCGGCCATATTTTTCGAGAATATCTTTTGGTCCACTTACTATTGTTAAATCATACTTAGGTTTAAATAAGTTAAGATAAGCGGCTGGAATACTATAAATCATTATCCGATTAGATGAACCAACAGTTAGGATTGTTTCTCTATGATCCAAAACATTAACAATAGATCGTAGATGAGATTCCTCTTTATTATAAATTATCAAAAAAAAAATAGTATAAAATCAACAGTAATAATAATAGAATGTAAGTACTTTAATTATTTAATAATAATAATAATAACAGCTTTATTCCAAACAGTATTTGTGGTACAGGTAAGGAATTATCAGCGTGCATTACAATATATTGCATCTAATTACCTCATAAATTTTATAAGATTTTTAAAATCAAAAAGCAACACCCAAAAAAGAAGATAAAAAAATAAAAGAACAGCGTTGCGTTAACATTTTAAAGAATGCACCACAGGAAATGAAATATAAAATTGGTGTGTAATAGAAGATGAGGACAACAGTGTAATAGTAACGAGGAAAGGAAAACAAAAACTAATGGGACTATTTGTTAGAGTGCCGCAGTACGTTGATCGTGTCATACCTAACGTATTTCTCATCACATAACATCTGTGCCAGATATGGTATTGTGGATTTTTTGTATTGTACGGCTTCAGCTGCGCGTCTCCATTGCCTTCGGTTTTCTGCCAACTTTTTCACTCCGCTCCAAGTCTGCCACCCACATGCTTTCATCTCCTCTTCACATGCCACCTCCTCCAAGCCACCCTTGCACTGACGACCAACTCGCCGCTTCCCTTTCGGCCAGGTTCCACTCGAGCGATGGCTTGTCTAGTGATGTCACTCACTTGATGGTTTGTTTTCTCAGAGTATGGCCACCAATCCATCTCCATTTCTTCCTGCCTATTTGTTTCACAATCGATTTCTGGTTGGTTGGTTGGTTGGTTCGCTCATTTCCAGAGATCCCTGTTGCTGATCTTTTCTGGCCGGCCATTTGATCTTGAGTAGTATTGAGCGAAGACAAGTGTTAATGAAGGTCTGTAGTTTGTTTGGTGTGCTGTTTATGACGCGCTGGCCAAGTCTTTGATCCGTATAGTAGCACTGACTGACTTCACATTGGAGTTGAAAATCCGGATGTTATTTTTGATGCTGAGTAGTGCTGTTGACCTCCACACAGACTTAAGAGTAATGAGAAAGTTTATGTCGGACTTGGTTGGTGGGTTGGTTTGAATTTTTCGTGATTCCTTTACATACCCAGCAGAACATAGGGCTTCAACCTAGAGGCTTGAAGGAGGCTCGGTAAGAGTGCAATTCATTTTTTTGGGGTGTGGTTGCTAGCTTCATGCCTAAACTTCCCTCTTTACCACTCTCGTTACTGGCCTAGCTAGGTAAAGGAGTGTGTCGGCCGGTGTTCGAACTCCAGACCACATGGGGCGTGTTTGGCGACTATATAGTGTGAGTAAAAATATCCTTTACAGAAATTTAAATATATATATATATATATTAAAGTGTCGGTTCACAGGGATTTCATTAATATGAGGTTTGATCATTTAGAGAACGAGGGACTACTGGATAGCTGTTCTGCCCTAGTTTAGAACACTTCAGTAGTGAGCAGTTGTTCTATATACATTACAAATTGGCAGAAGTTAAGATTCATGGAACATTGAATTCCGCCTCATGATCTGAATGTTAAGCTGGGTCTCCTTGTAACCTGAAGGTACTTGGGACAATCTATGTTGGGGCCATGCATGAGTACTCCTGATTAGTCCTAAACCGGGACGAAACATATTTTCGGTGGTTTCTTTAACTAGCAGTTAGTTTACGACCAGACTTGCCATGCCTCCATTCCATATTCAAGAAAGAATAATTTGAGCATACAGTTGTACTGTACTTGAATCCCAGTAAAGCTGCGCATATAATTTTGATTTGTCTCTACTGGCTACTATCTCTTAACATTCATTGATTTATAACTGTACAGACACAAAGGATTTATCAAAAAAATTGTTTGCTCAACGCTTTTCTTATTCTAGATATTCTCTTCAATGACTTCATGTTCAGAGTGTACAGTCATCTACACGCATTAATTGGGGGTGAATTATTGCAATTAAGAACATTATCGTGTTATTGGATGGTTGGAAGCAGTCAATAGGAAACCTTGGACCACCTAGAGTTTCGTGCTTTTTGGTACTCACAAGTTAGCAAGGCGTATCTGCAACCACCTTGAGGGAATTTATGTCCCTCCTGAGATTCTGACCTCTGTCATCAAATGTTGTAGTTAGAGATGTTACGACTGAGCTTGCTATTCAAACTCGCGATTAACCTCCTGTAGGACAGTATTGGATATTTTGGTTGGACACTAGTTAGAAATAGTCTTATGCGTCTAGTCCTTTGTTTGGCCTCTTTTTCAGGCCATCTAGGGGTGGTAAAGATGTATGCCAGCCGGGAGTCGAAACCCTAACCATATATACAGTCAGAGAATATTGTACCTCTGAGCCACCGATGCATACCCGCGTAAGGGTAAACGATGAACTGCAACTAAAGTTGTTCTTCACTCTTTTCGCTTGCGAACGGCTTTGGCTGTTAACAATGGAAAGCTTGAAGACGCCAGCTGCCTTTACCTCGTAGATGCTTACGTTCTATCTCTTGTATTAAATGGTATCATACGCTGAGTAATAATAAGGTTATACGTAAGTTGGGAAAGTTGATCAAGTTGGGTTGTGATGCTGCATCGAAAGAGGTCACTAGGATTCGTGTTATACACGTTAAGACGTCATCTTTTTCGTTTAACATAGGATAAAGATAGATTAGTAAAAAATAAAGAGTGGTTAGGTAAAAGTATGGCTAATCCATGAAGTAAATGACCATTGGTTTGAGCCACACAAAGAGATGTAAACTATTTGGTTTGTGTTTCGAGACGCTAGGAACCAATCGCTCAAGACTGCTAATAACATGATTCTAAACCACTGTCATTAGTACACATGTATTAACTCCTTCCGAATCCCTAGGTTGGTCAAATTTCTATCATTCTTCTTTATGTGCTTATTCTTTCTGCCATAAAGTTCCATTCAGTACGGACTCTTTGATATTTTGTTTTTCGTTATCTATGAAGTGTGTCAACTTGAACTGCCACACATTGATGATAAGCTTTACACTGAAAATTCAGTTCAACAGAGAGATCTCTGGTAGTTGATGAACTATCTAGTCCTTGTTGATTTTTTATATATTGATCTTTGGATCGAGTACTCTTGTCTTCTGCTAAGTAGTACATCCAGGAATCGAAATGGTTTGTTAGATTCACTTTCTAGAGAGAATTTCATTGATGTGGTGAGCCACGTAGAAGGTTTTGAAGATTTGGACAAAACAATAAGAAGACGTAATTTGCCTGAATCGTGTAATGTATTTGCACAACACATTTCGAACAATCTGATCACACATGAACTTTTCATAAGAGTACATATATATATGAAATCAGTAAAGAGTTAAGAGGTGAGAAAATAGACTAAGGTCAATTTAAAAGGACATGTTAAAGGTCAAAATAACGATGAAGACCACAAAACCAAATAGCAGAGGTAATACTACATCTACTCTGTCTGGTATCAAAACAGAGTTTACCGAAGAAATTGGTTTAGTGTGATTACGAATTTGTTGCTTTGAACGCATAGAAAGGTGATTCAAACTTCCTAATTGCCGACTAGGGCTTCCATAAACTTTAGGATACGAACTACCTCAAACACGTTTCATAGATAGCTTTAAAAGATGTGTTAACGTCAATTTTATGACCTGTCTCTATAATATATTTCGCAATAGAGGAGCTCTCCTGTTCTCACTATTGATGGGTTCTGAATATTATATTTGTTTCTGGAGCCATTTATAAATATGCTGTGAAGCCAGCCCTTACTTGCAGAGATCGATGAGTCCTCCCTTCTATATATGTGTGTCCACACGTACATTCAAACTTGACCTAAGTCTACTTTCTCACCTCTTAACTCTTTACTGATTTCATATATATGTACTCTTATGACAAGTCCATGGTGATCAGATTGTTCGAAATGTGTTGTGCAAATACATTACACCATTCAGGCGAATTACATCTTCTTATTGCTTTATCTAAATTCATAAGAGGAACTAAGTGTTTTGAAGTTTTGAGTATTGTTAAATATAATTACGATTGTACAGCTTATAGAAACAAATCGTCGAAAAGAAAATTTTTTCTGCTGTTTTTCATCTTTTTCTTATACTACCTATTTGTCCAAGTGTAACAACGGAAGGCAAGTATCAGCCAAAACATCGTTTATTGAGAAAATCAAGAGATATTTGTAGATTTTATGTACATCATTATTCGTAATAAGTAACAGGGAATCAGCGTCTTCTGATTGGTTGTTTTCTCGCTGAAAGCTAATCTGTCATCTCTTTGTGGCTGTTTCTTTGAAGGTCAGACCACATATCTGTGAATCGTATTCACCCACTCAGAGGCTTTGTTCTTGTTTTTCTCATGACCACGATTTGGGACGTAGACATTGACATAAATTGCTGTCTACCAAATTTGGCTAACAGAGAGCTCTCACCACACAAGTAGCTAGTCACAATTCGGATGGTTTAAAACTGATTCAGCTATGCAAGCCAATTCAAACCTGGCACATCAATGATGAGCTTCACCTCAGTCGACTGAATCAGTCGTCTAGTGTTTAGATAACGTTAAACTAGCTAGCAGGCATTACTAGTTGATATGTGTGTTATCCACCTACTCATATCAACCAGTTAGTAGTATGTAACATCATCCACTTATATTTCATTTCTTGATTACCATTTATAGTATTAAACAGATCACATACTTTGGTTTGAATTATCTCAGTTTCAGAAGGAAACTGCGATGAATTAATCACCTCGAACTGGGTTGTCGGTGGCACAGTGGTTAGGACTCTCGCCGACCATGCACATGGTCCGAGGTTCGAGCCCTCGCCGACGCACACCTGATATCTATGGTCGGCCTGTAAAATTTGGGCCACCGATATCCATGCTGAAAATTCCATACTTGTACCAAAAATACAGTGTGGAATCAAGCTGTAAATCAAAAATTTAAAAAAATATTTTGCAGACTATTGATTTGATTTAAGCGGTCACAAGTTCACCCGAGTAACTAGTCAGAAATAAGGTGGTTTGAATTGCTTTGGCTGCCTGAGCTGAGTCACACCATGCACACTGATGATCAGCTCAGCCATAGACGAGAGAAATGGCCGTCCGGTGTGTAGATAACCTCTATTTGGTCATGTGCGACTGCTACTCATTTCACTTAATCAGTAGTATATAGTTAACCAATCGATTTAAAAGTTAGAATGATTAAAAAAAGGAGAAAAATATGAAGACAAGAGAGAAATTAGCTTACCTTGAATTCTTATTGTCTTTTTGAAAGTAAATATAGTCGTATTATCATAACGATTTGCAAAAATACACTCAACTATACAATGACCACGCCATTTGTAAATAGAATAACTGTTAGGTGGTTTAATAATTGCCTGTGAAGATTCATGAATTATGCTGGCCTTTTGCGGTTCTGTACTAATTATATGACCATACCAGGTAGCATTTAGTTGATCCTCTACACTGCTTGGTAATAATCCACATTTTATTGTATCCTTAGAATCTCTTGCTATGTCAATATTAGAATTGTCAATAGCATTCAAAGTTCCGTGTAGATTGCACTCTGTACAAACGAATAATAATAGTTATAAAGTAAAGTAATGATTATGACTAAATGAATGAACATCCAGGTGTTAGTTTGTAGAAATTTGATTGGTTACAGGATTTCATCATGAGCTGACATCAGTTAGAGAACCATTGGAAAAGCGCCAAGGAGTACTGGAAAGCCAGCTGATTCATCAGCCTAGTCTAGAACTCCTCTGCAGTACGCACCCATCCCATGGCCAGGGTTCGAACCCCAAGACCTTCAGGTTACAAAGCGAGCTCGTAGACCATTAAACCAGTAGGACTTGAACCTCCAGTGGCTGCCAGTTCATGAATTCTGACTTCTGCCAATTCACGTATGACATAATGCCACTGGCACCAGCCAGGATGTCACAGCTGACGAGTATTTGTCCGCACACTCCAGCAGCTGTACCCCACTAGTCACGGCTCAGGTGGATAGATACCTGGTTTTTAGTGCGAAATTGTGGTTGGATGCTGGTGAAGGGTAGCCAACTAGGGTGAAACAGCTGTCCAGTATTCCAGTGATGGTTTTTCAATGGTTCACAAGCCAAAATCAGCTTATGAAGAAACCCGGTAACTAAATGATATAAACAGCTTCCAACTTCTTGCTAAACAATTAAAGTAAGCAAATGTTGTTTTGAATTTTAATGAAGGTAATTTTAAGCTATATACAGCTGACAAGTACCAATAAAGAATGAAATGATGATATAATTATTATCCTCAGACAGCAGCTATATGAGGAATACACATTTCAAGTAATTGATAAAGGAAAGCCCGGTAAAGCCTATGAATTAAAGCAGACAGGAGTAAAGCAAGGCTACCTACCATAGTAATCTTAAAATAACATTAATTGGTAACTAGGACATAATCCATGCCATGCATCTAGTTCTTGATGTTGATGCCAGTTGAATGGTACCAGTCAAGATTTAGCACATCACTTCGGTTACTCCATGATTACTAATCAATGCATTTGTGACTGTCCTATTTTATTTGTATATTATTATTGTCCCCTTCAGTTCCCAGTGGAAAATAGGACTGCAAAAGCATGCCTCCACCTCATTCTATTCTCTGAGATGCTCTTCACCTAGTCTAACTACTGCTCAGAATCTTTCATCTCCTCACCAAAACGATTTCCTCCTAGTCACTCTCGGACACATACTTCCATCTCGTCGTTTCCCACTCGGGTTCCAGTTGGGGCTTTGTCCAATGCGTGATGTCATGAAGTGGTCTCCTCAGTGGTGTGTGTCCCATCCGTCTCCAATTTCTTCTCCATATCTGTTGAGCAATAGATTCTTGGTTGATTTGTGCCATCCCTCACCATTTTCTTTCTCGCCTGCCAACCAGCCAGCCAGCCACCTGATCTTCAACATGGAGACAGAGAAGGGGACAGCTGTTGATAAATGTCTGTAGTAGCCTGTTGGAAATGCTTTTCGTGACGCACCCGCCAAGTTCCAAACCCACATGGAAGGAATGACTGACTGACTTCATATTTGTGTTGAACAGAATCCGAATATTGTTCTTTATTCTTCGTTGGAGTACAGAAGATTTCCAAACTTATTTCAGAGCGAAGAAGGTTTGCTTCGATTACTGTCTCACAAAACGCTAAAAGCAGTGAGGCCATCTAGATCAGTAACAAATCTACTGATTAAAATACTGGTTGAGGTTAGTTGATATCTCATAGGGGACATCGATTCCATCAAGATTACTGGTACTCCATGGTAAAGAGTATGAGAAAGTTCAAAGTCTAGGTCTCGAGCATCCTGCTGACTGCATACAACTATCAGACATTACATCTGAGTTCTATCGAGTCCTAGGAAGATATAAAAATCATGAAACAATGATCATCAACTTCATTGTGCCAAATGCTTTCACATCTGTAAAAAAAGATTACAGAGTAATTTTTAAAGTCGTCATGAAGTTATTCCACATAATTAAAGAATTTAAATCCGTATTTCATTTGTGTTACTCCCTTATTTTAAGATCTACAACTTTGAAATAACACATCACCATACTTCAGCGATGCTTGAAGATCAACACAATTTAATTTTTGACTTGTCAACTGGATGGTGTGCTTGCATTCCAAGTCAGTGGACGTCCATCCTCTGCGACTCGAGGACAGTAGTCTTCGTCTCATCAAATGCCAGACCACTACCCTGTAGAGAAGTGAGCAACTTGAGATGCCTCTTGTGCAGCGGGTATAAGCTCTTGTTTATTTAGATGAATTTTCGCACTTCCTGATGACTGGTCAAAAATATTTGACCTTTTTTTGCAAGTTAGCTGCTAGAATAGATGCTTCAACGATGCTTTTCGATGAAAATAATGTACTGTAGCGTTCATAATGCTACTAATCAATAACAGAAGTTCAGCGACTGTCATGTACATAGTTTATTATTATTTATTAATTCCTTCACGTTCCCAGTGGAACATAGGGCTTCAAGCTAGAGGTTTGAAGTTTCTGTAGCAGTGCTTATTTTTACAGGATGGGTTGGTAGCCTCATGCCCAACCGTACCTCTTTACCATCTTTATTTCTGACTTAATGAGGTAAAGGTGTGCGTCGGCCAGGGCTCGAACCCCGTACCATGTTCACAGTCGGCGAGTATCCTAACCTCTGTGCCACCGACGCACTGTACATAGTTCAATACGACTGCATTACCCTTAGTTTGTAATTGGCACTCAAAATATTTGCGAAAATCAGTCAAACAATCTTTAATTGATAATCCGAATAATACTTAAAAATCGATAGAATCCCTTTTATATTTTCGAATACCACAGGCAGAATAGATGTTGTCAAAGCCAGAATAGAATAAGTAAGGTACCCCATCAATCAAAAATCAGATAGGAAATCTTCTGCACTCCACCGAAGTATAAAGAACAAGATACAGATTCTGCCCAACACAAATGTGAAGTCAATCAGTCATTCCTTCTCTATGCAGAGAACCTTGCACTGTGCATCACGAAAAGCATTTCCAACAGGCTACTACAGACTTTTATGAACAGCTGTCCCTTCTCTGTCTCCATAATGAATATCAGGTGGCTGGCCGGCTGGCAGGTGAGAAGGAATTAAGAACAAAAAATGGTGGTGGAGTGCACGAACCAACCGAGAATCTATTGCTCAACAAATATGGAGAAGAAAAGGGAGACTGGTAGGACACACGCCACTGACGAGATCGCTTCGTGACATCGCGTACTAGTCAAATCCTCGACTGAAACCCTGGTGGGAAGCGACAACTCGGGCGTGTGTCCGAGACTGATACGGAGTCGATCGTTTTGGGAGGAGGTGAAGATGATCTCAGAGAATAGAATGAAGTGAAGACATGTTGTTGCAATCCTATTTTCAATTTGGAACCTACGGGACAATAATAATAATAAGGTTACTTATGAAATGCAGTAACCTGAAGTCATACAGCAAAATTCTACGTCTTATTGTTTTCCTTTCACCTTTTAAACAACGGTTTTTTCTGAGAGAAACATCCCTTCATCTTACGTGTTGGATGACCTCTATGTTTATTCATTTCTGGTATTTATAACTTTATATATACTGATAAGCATGAATAACCATATCCAGGGGTTCACTGAAGTAAACAAAGAACTAATTATGACTTACACTGGTTCCAATCGTTCCAATATAGTCTACAGTTAGTGAATTACTAATTCTATGTGATTGATGGTAACTTTCAACAGAATTCAAAATGTGAGTTTTATCTTCGAACTTCGTACTCGTCAACTTGATGTACCAACATCGCCACTGAATGACGGTGTTACCAATAAGACTTGAATCAATCACCCATAGATTCAAACACATGAAATAACAGCATGTTGTTAACACTCTAACATCGTGGAGGCATCTGTACTAGAAACAGGCATATCAGAAAAAACAGCAATTCTGTCCAACATAAAGTAGTTATTCCAGTGTTAGTTAGCAGGGATTTAATTAGTTACAGGATTTCATTATGAGCTGATATCGGTTAGAGAATTATTAGAAAACCAAAACCGGGGTACTGGACAAAAATTTCTCCTTATTTTTGGATCCTACGATCCTGCCTTGTAACCGAAAGTTCCTGGGTTCGAGTCACAACCCAGGTTGACAAGACAGCTATCCAGTACTCCATTTGTGGTTTTCCCAATGTTGTCTAACCGATGTCAGCTCATCCAATAGTTTAGTCAACACGAATACAAAAATTAACTTGAACCAATAAAAACTGTAATATCCACCCCCACAAGAGGTGACTATAATTGTCTCAGTGACCGAATAAATATAAGTCAATGGCAGCAGGTTCGTCTACTGTAGATACAAGTAAATCCAGCTGAAGAGTCTCAAATAAGATGAAACTCATGCCTTGGATTATACTTCTAGACACTCAATCATCAAATAATACAAAGAAATAAACAAAATAAAAAAAATGAATTCTTCCCGTCAACATACTTGTAATATCTATAAATTTATTAAACTTGTATATAATTCTATTTTCATCAGCCTTCAATTCACATTGTATTTGTAGTCTATCAGTTATATTATAAACTGTATTACCTATAGGTGGTTGAATCAATATTGTATTGTTGTTTTTCACAATAGATATTGCATTAGGCAAGCCACTGATTATTTGCGCTTCCCAATACCCATTGAATACGCTTAAATAACTTTTAGGCAATAGACTACATTCAAATGTTTTATTTGAACCAAGTGATACAATTTTATTGAATTGATCAATTCCATCCAATGAACCTTGAAGATTACAATCTAAAATATAGAAAAAAAAGAAGAAGAAAATACCAAAGAATTCGTAAACTCGGACGAATAAAAAAAACAAAATTTACAAATGTTTAAGTGTTGATTTACAGCGATTTGATTGGTTACAAGATTTCATCATGAGCTGACATAGGTTAGAGAACCATCATTAGAGTACTGGATAGCTGTTTTGTCAGCCTAGCTTGCGACTCTGCATTAGTAAGCACTTATCCCACTGCCAGGTCCTAGTTACAAGGCGACCTCTTAGACTATTAGGCCATTGACCAGCCCATGAATCCTAGAATCTGGCGATTCATGATTTCAATGGCACTGGGACAATCCAATGACATCGGTGGCGAGTATTTGTCATCACACTCGACCTGCAGAAGTTGAAATTCATGGGTTGGTGGTCACTGAGGAGTTGGGTACCAGTGGCTTAGTATTCTACGAGCTCGCCTTGTAACTGGAACATCCTGGGATCGAACCATGGCAATGAGTCTCAGACTAGGTTGACAAGACGACTGTTCAGTGCTCGAAAGTTTGTTTTCCAGTAGTTATCTAACTGATATCAATTCGCGAGGAAACTTGAAACAAAAGGAATGCTTACAAAGGTGTCATTAAATTTAAGATTTTAGATAACGTTCCTGGATTTTAAATTCATTAATACTGAAGCCAACCTCGCCTAGATTACTAGCTCGCTAGTTTTCTAGCCGGTCCCAAGCCCGGATAAAGAGGGAGGGTTGAGGTGTGGTGCTAGCAACTCCACCCCCAAAACTTAACCAAATCACTACAGAAACTTCAACGCATAGATATATTAAAAAAACTAAAAATATAAACAATAATCTTATTTTTCACTGGAATCGGGGAAGTGAAATGACGCAGGCTGGTGAAAGCCTTCGGGAAGCCAGTCAGCCGATGTGCCTTCTTACGATGGATGCAAAAATAATGATGGGTACCTGGAATGTTCCTACAATGTACGAAACTGGAAAGGCTGCCCAGGTAGCAGCAGAAATGAGAAGATATGGAATAGAAGTGCTGGGAATCTGCGAGAGCAGATGGAACGGGTGTGGTAGGTGCCAACTGCCAACTGGGGAGACAATAATCTATTCCAGCCACCCAGAGGAAAATCACGAGCACATCGAGGAGTGGCCATCATGATGTTAACAACAGCAGCCGAAGCTCTCATACAGTGGGAACCAATCTCCTCCAGGATAATGACAGCCAGGTCCAACTCAAAAGGAAGAAAGGTTACAATCATCCAATGCTATGCGCCCACAAACGTCTCTGAACAAGAAAAGAAGGAGGCATTCTACACACAACTACAAACAGTAATGGACAACGTCCCAAATGGAGATATCAGAATCATGATAGGTGATATGAATGCGAAGCTGGGAGGAGACAATACAGGAAGAGAACTCACCATGGGTAGTGAGGCCCTCGTGAAATGTACGACAATGGTGAACTCTTCTCAGACACTCGCTGAGGAGGCCACTGGTTGACATCGCGCGCGCGTCAGGCCCTTTAGTGGAACCCGGAAGAGAAGCTGCGGGTGGAACTTCCAAGGGTGACATGGGGGAGATCGTGTGAAGAGAAGTTGAAACAGTATGGACTAACCAACATGGATGCAGGTGAAAAGTACAGCAGAAGACAGAAGCAAGTGGAGACGTGTAGTGGAAGCCGTATGCTCCACTAGGAACCCAAGGGAACTATAATAATAATACTGAAGTCATCAACTGGGTAGAAACTATCATAAAATTAAATAAATAAATTGAGTGACGTAGCATAATTGATGGGGTTGAGTTTATCTCAAATAGAATTGGAAGAGGAACAAGTTAAGATCAGTGTCAGACGAACTTGAAATGTAATAGTGAGAAAGGCGAATAATAATCAGATTAAACATTTAAAACATTGGACTTAATAAAAATTATCTACCAAATGATGAGATGAATCCACTTACTCCTATGGAGTTAGGTATCTAAAACCTCACTCAGAGTTTGTCATCCAAATGTATCATCGAACATCCACTCTTATTGGTGTAGAGGCGATTAAAGTTATCCCTAGCACCTATGTTCTGGAACACCATATCTATTATGAACACGAAGCGAACTCACAAACCAACTTCAGAGTTATCTAAAGAGTTCGTGGAAATCTTGCCAAAATGAGTACGAATCAAACTTTTTCAAATAGCAGAAGTTATAGGATTTTCATCATGAGCTGACATTGGTTAGAGAACCATTGGAAAACCAGCTGGGAGTACTGAACGGCGGTTTCGTCTTAGTTCGGGACTCCTCATCAGTACGCACCACCAGGGTTCGAACCCAGGACCTTCTGGTTACAAGGCGAGCGAGCCCGTATACCATTAAGCCACTGGGATCCGATCCAATGGCCCATGAATTCTAACTTCTGTCAATTCACGACATAGCGCAACCGCAGCCAATATCTTCGGCGAGTATTTGTCGTCGCACCCGACCTGCTGCACTCTACTGGTCATGACATCTCCCTAGAGCCCCAGGTAGATAGCTGCCTACCTGAATGCCGGTGGGTGCGTACTGATGAAGAGTCCCACAATAGGACGGAGGAAACAGCTGTTCAGTGCTCCAAGGTGTTACAATGATTCTGCAACTAATGTCAGCTCATGATGAAAATCCTGTAACCAATGAAATCCCTACGAACCAACACTTGAATAGCAGAAGTTATGATGATCCACATGTTTAGTTTTGAACAGAAAAAGTTTATTAAGTCACTCAATCTACAACTGACCTAATGTATCCATTCATCTGGTAAATGATTTTTGTTCAGGTTTAATTTTATTTTTCTTCTAACTTTTTCACAACCATATTTCTACTCCTTGTCACACCGATCTTAACTTGAGCCTAATTCAATTTTAGCCGAGCTGAAATCAATTCTGTTAGTTACGTCACATTTTCCAATTTTACTTATTTAATGGATAGAAGTCATAATCCATAGGCTGTTAAATTCCTACTCAGATTACTGGATGACCAAAATCTTGGCCTGGTGACCTGAAGATTTTGGGTTGCAATCCCAAATGCGTCATAGCTGCAAACCTTTGAAAACATTCCTTTAACAAAGTTAAACTATAACGAACCATAGAATGTGAACGTATGGTTGACCTTGAGCCAGCCAATCAGAAAATCCAATGGATATTATATAAAAATGATGTTTGCTTACAAGAAAAATACTTGAAAACAAATTAAACAAGATATCTTTCTCTGTCATGACTTAAAAATACCTCTCAGTTATAATGAGAAGTATCAGTTTTTAAGTTAGACCAGTTCAAGGTGACTGAAGCAGAGTTCATTCTGTGATATATTTATCTCTCTTATCCTGTTATTCACTCTTCCCGAAAAGCTCTTGTTTGCATTAGTATGGGTTCCAGTAAGAGGGTGGACAACTATTTAGAAGAGAAATGAGGATAATCTTCCCCTGAAACCCTAATCCCAACCTTAATCCTAACTGTAACCCTAAACGTAACCCCCGTGAGCTATGAACACATTGTCCGAATAGCACTTAAAAGCGAGATTAAGATGAAATTTTTACCTCACTTGAAGGACAACGTTCAGAGCAGCTCTATAATAATGGTAGGTCTCTTGATCTAACGAATAGTATACATCAAGGTGCGTCCACTTTCCAGGATCATGATACTTTAATCTGGCGGTTCCTTTTTGTTGCTATGACAACCTACTATACACATATGCGATAATACAGCTAAAGTATGATATCGTTGAAAAGAGTAACTCTTCAGTGAAAACTTCTTCCCTGAATAAATTCACGATTAATAATAGATAATTATTGATATCTTCTTATGTGATTAATAGTTATAATAATCACTTTATTCCAAACAACAATAATAATTATTACAAGATTTCATCATGAGCTGACATTGGTTAGAGAACCACTGGAAATCCTGGGAATACTGGACAGTTGTTTCGCTCTAGTTTGGGACTCTTCATCAGTACGCATCGGGTGTGAGGACAAATACTCACCGAAGATATTGGCTAGGGGTTGCGCTATGTCGTGAATTGGCAGAAGTTAGAATTCATGGGCCATTGGATCGGATCCCAGTGGCTTAATGGTATACGGGCTCGCCTTGTAACCGGAAGGTCCTGGGTTCGAATCCCGGTGAGTGCATACTGGCGATCAGTCCTAAACTACGTCTAGGAAACATCTGACTATTCAGTACTCCAAGGTTTTCCAATGGTTCTGTAACCAATGTCAGCTCATGATGAAATCTTGTAACCAATCAGTCAAAACCCTACAAACCAACACTTGAATAATAATCACACAGAATGGAATTTTCAGCGTTTTTATACCTATTGCTACAATTTAGCTCCTTTTTTAAATATATAAATACATGAAATTGAAAAAATAATAAAACCATAAAAACTGAACGTTAGTGGGGCATAATAAATGACACATAAATAATCTAACAAATAATATATATAATAATAATCTTTGCCCATATTTTGGAGGTCAGTTACTATCGATTTAAAAAGTTTATAAGTTCTACTCTGACAGCTAACTCTCTCTCTTGACACGCAACTACCCGTGCTAAATATTCTGGTATTGTAGTATGGTAGAATTTCTACATTTGGTAGCTGTGTGAGTATAAATCCTCACGAATGATCTCCTGGTTTCACTCCACGAAGAGATACAAGGAAAAAGTTGTGAATCACAAAGAGGATGTTTGTTATCAGACCAGATAACTTTAGCTAACTCCCTGCAAGAATTGAAATGCCTATCAAACGACAACAATGTCAGTTAGTTGAGTCACTGGCACACCACTAACTCTGATTACAACCTTCAATTTTCTGCGTAATATGACATCGTCTTTTTTGAGAAGTCCAGGGAAAAAGTAATGGTGAACAATGAAGAACGAAGAGTGAGCAGAATACATGAATCAATAAATTGTAAGAGAAGAGTTCTAATTATCCCAATAGAATGCCTCAACTTTTTATGATGTATTCAGTTTAACAAACATTTTTCTTAGAAATCAATAGGATATGAGACGACCAAAAGAGATTCGAATAGAAATGGATGCTGGAATAAGAAATATTCGATTTAGCCTCTATAATCTCATTGCCGTCGATACTACAGAAGCCGTGGAATTGAATCAGTCATTCCACGCAAACCTTTTTTAGCGTGAAACTAAATTCAACAATTTGACATAACATGAAGGATTTCATCATGAGCTGACGTCAGTTAGCGAACCACTGGAAAAACCAGCTGGGATTACTGGACAGCTGCTGCTTCATCCTAGTTTGAGACTCTTCAGCAATACGCACCCACCGGGGTTCGAACCAAGGACCTTCTGGTTACAAGGCTCAATGGTCTACGAGCTAGTTCGCTTTGTAACCAGAAGATCCTGGGTTCTAACCTGGCCGTGGGATGGGTGCGTACTGTTGAAGAGTCCCAAACTAGGACAAAACAGCTGCCAAGTACTCCCAGCTGGTTTTCCAATGGTTCTCTAACTGATGTCAGTTCATGATGAAATCCTCCATGCAGTCAAACAAAATCCCCTACAAAACCAACACTTGAAAATATGACATTAAATCGATTTAGTTTAATGCCATTTAGGGTAGACCAGATGGAAATCTATTCATCATATCAGAACAATCCAATGCAGAAACTACTGAGAAATAAATGGTTAGATCACTAGGGCATATTTAATGAAATTAAATTTTGAAGAATACGAAGAGTCATGCAATAAAAGAAAAGGGGAAAAGGAGACAGTACCAGTGCCTTGAGACAAACCAGTTTCCATTAGCAAAGAAGTGGAGGGCTTTCCATTTCTTAAAACAGTGTATTGTCTTCTATTCAAAAAAAAACAAACAGAAAAGCAGTCAGGCGACCACCTTCTGACCAAAGACTCAGTGCCTACTTAAATCAGTTTGCTTAGGTAAAAGTCTTCTAGGGAATAGAGTCAAAAGAAACACCGTAATCCAAAAAGAGGACTCGAACAAACAATATTAAATCAATGAACATAAACATTATTTACCTTTTATAATAATATTTTTATTAAACACATAAATTGTTTGTTTATTTTCATGATTTTTAAATATACATTCCACGGTAACACTTCCAGTTAGATAGTAAACAGATGAATTGAATGGTGGTCCAATCACAGCCTTATTATAACATGATGTAACTGATATTAAAGGATAGTTTGCTGAGGAAAGTAGACGTGCTTCCCAATAACCATGATATAATGATTCAGACCATTCAGGTAATAGACCACATTTGAATGTGTGATTAGTACCAATATTAACTATACCATCTAATTCATCATATCCATTAATTGTACCGGTTTTTACACCATCTATAATGCAGTAATAATATATGATTATTATAATCAAATATATATTTGCCATAATATTTGGGAAATAAAAGTTACTTGTGTGTGTGTGTGTACACTTATCATGGTTTTCCATCTGAATTGTTAATGTATCAGCAAAGTAAATTTGACAGAAGCTTTTCGTCTTCGGGAAGCTATTTTCTTCTTAAACTTTGTAGATGAGTTTGAATGAATTCTCCTTACGTAATAATTGACGACCAGTATTGAATATATATATATATGTCCATTTACAGCACTCTTTATTGATCGACTGTTACCTTTTCGTAGACAATCGGGATAATGTTTTTCCACTCGAACGATCTGTATATCTGGTCCACTGAACATGAGCAGGTAAACTGGTAGATACCTAGAGAAGTTTAATAATTCCCATTGTAGCATTAAGAACACAATATTCAGTGAAGAGACTCTTTCCAACGAATTTATCATCAAGCTTATCTATCTATATGTATAGTTTATTTTTATAAGAAATTATATCCGGTGAGAGAATTAGGTCAAAGGTGTGAATACATGAAATAATAATAATAGTATGAAATGAAATGAAAATATTTGTGATTATAATCATAGTTTAATGTCAATTGGCAGAATAATTAATGTCGTGGAGCAAGGTACATTGGCCGTAGTCAGAGAACGCTCTCCACACGGATACGAGAACATATTCCAGATTGGTTTTACAAGGGAGAAAGGAAATGTGTGCGAAGCTCTATTCTGGAATATCTGATCGACTTCTGTCACTCGGTCAACCCTGACCATGATTTCAAGATCACACATAGAATTCATGCTAACTTCTCGCGTTTTCTTCGTTACAGGCTTCTAAAGACAGCTGAGGCTTTGGCAATTCATGACTTTAAGCCAGTCAGACATTTGTGTACAAAATGACAATGTCAAAACTAACCATTTTATCTTCATTATCTAATTATAAATTATCTAATCTATGTTTCAGTTCATAGGAATTAGTTAGTCTAGGTTTTGAGCACATTAACTCAAAGGTGGAGGCAATTCAAATCACTTATGAATTGGAAAGTCAGGAAGAGGAGCTTACAATGTTAGATTGCAACGTGAAAAGGAAAGAAGATGGGAAGTTAAACACTAGTGTTTACAGAAAACCCACACATTCAAACAGATATTTGGACTTCCAATCATCCCATCCTATGTCAGTGAAAATAGGATTTGTGAAATGTTTAAATGACAGCCCAAAAACTAAGACAGGAAGTGAGGTATATAAAAGAAGCTTTGAAACATAATAATTACCCTGATAATTTAGTCAGAAAGTATGTAGGGAAATGTAAGAATAAAATGAATAATGATAGTAGTGATAGTGATAATAATGACGACATGCATGTCAAACATGCGTAATATAACACCATCAAAAAGGAATCTAAATCATCAGTAGTAATTCCATACAAGGAAGGAACCTCGGAAGCCTTACGCAGAATACTTAACAAGGCTGGCAGGAATAAAAGTGGAATTCAAGCTGACCACAAACTCAATTAGAAACAAGCTTTGTCGGTTAAAAGATCATTCCTGTGGAGCCATTAAAACAAAACAATTTAGTTTATCTAATACCCTGCCTGCGATGATTGTCAGGTCAAATACATAGGTCAAACTAGTAGAACAGAGGCAGTCAGACTAGCCGAACATAAAAACCTAGCTAAATCTAGATTGGTTGACCCGAATGAGATAAGAAATCTAGAAAATGATTCAGCTATAGCACTACATGCAGTTACACACAACCATACAACAGGATGGGATAGGATGACAGTTTTAAAATCTAATGTCACAGGGTGGAGGGAGAGTTTGATAACGGAAGCTTTGTTTATCGAATCAACGGCAAATACATGTAATAGAAACGATTCAACACCTGTCCCAGATACATGGAAAATTCTACTGCCCATACGACAAATAGGAGACGACAAAGAAAACTATAAAACTCAAATCTCAAAGTCGTGTGATCACAATTGATATGATTATGAACAATAAATTGTGTTCGAATCGTCATCCAGTATACAATACTGTTTCACTGTGTGATACATCTAATAAACAAACTAATATGGATCTTAATGAAACCTCATTTTTTTCTCATTTTCTATATTATGTTATCCATTTTTGTTTTATTCCTGCAATATCTTCTGCCCTTTATTTGTTATACTAATTTTCTTGGTCAGTTATTACCCATTTGACATTGCTATTATTGGTGATATGGCTGAAAAGCGTTATCAACGGTGCAGATGAATTCACTCTTTGTTCACTTCCATATCATCAGTCAAATCCTCCATGTACTTATTCATTCCTCTGTTCATTTAGGACCTTTGACATTTTGTTTTATTTTTCTTTACATTTGTGTGTTAATCGGAGTGTGTGTTTAATTGAACTGCTGCACTATGCTGTTGACGAAACCTCAGTTAGTAAGTCAGTCTAACGTTTATTTTGAATAAATTCTCCTTACATTGTTGAGTGACGACCAGTGTTGAATATATGTCCAGTTATAGTAGTCCCTATTGATCCACTGTTACTATTTCTTAGCCAAGTGTGACTGTCTTATATAAAACACTTAATGAACGACATATAATATGCCTTGCTGCCTCCACATGAGCAAGTAAACTAGTAGATGCACATAAACGGGGTCAAATGCAGTAGTTTATCTTTAGGGTTGTCCAAAAACAATGGCCGCCCTAAATGTGACCTAAATAATATCCTTCGAATCTCAAAGTCGTGTGATCACAATTGATATGATTATGAAAAATAAATTGTGTTCGAATCGTCATCCAGCAAATAATAGTGTTTCACTGACTGTGTGATACATCTAATAAACAAACTAATATGGGATTACTTACTACCGCAGTGCCCAAGTTTTACACATATATTTCAGTAAGATCATCGAAGAGTCTGTTATCAGCGAATTCGTTTTCTTAGCTGTACAATCCTAAATATATATATATGTTGTTCAGTATGTATTTGTAAATTAAGTTTGTCAAAGAAAACTGCAATTGGTTATGGTTTTTTTTATACTAAACAAGTGAAGATTGATAATTGGTGTTACGTAATACAAAATCACTCAAGAATTAGATGTTAATGAAATTGGGGTTAGTAACAAAGGTGATGAGTTGTCACAAACAGTTGGTAAAAGAAGTTATGTATTAATATGAATAGTTTGATGAGTGAGTTTTACTCAGGATACACATAGGAACTAAGTAGATAATACGAAATTACATAAGAGTTCTAAATTAATACAAGAATTATAAGCAATTAAAAGAATGCGCATCCTGGATTCCACTGCTAATCACCATCCACCAATTAAATTAACCAACAGGCAAAGAAACAAAGTTAAGCCATCAAAATTTTTAAAAAAACTCAAATCATATCAAAACCAAAAAAGTTGTTTCCATGACAGTAGAAGTGGTTGAGTAATCTTCTTTTGTATGCACAACTCCGGTTTTTCTATGTGAAAGGCCAGAGCTTCAGCGATAGGTTATTCTTGACTCTGTAGATTACTTTGAAGCAAGAGGCGTTTGTTGAAGTGGAATAATCAGTGTTAACCAGGTGTTCAATTATTGCACTCCTTATTGTACCACTATTGCCTTTTCGCAACCATCCTGAATAGTGTTGTTGAATCCTCTTGGACAGGGTGCGCGTCAAACGGCTGATGTACCTGGCTCCACAGCATCAAATGAACTGATATATGCACATAGAAGCGGTCAGATTTAGGATCTTATCCATAGGGCTTCTTCAGATCAGTGGGCGACTGGAGAACACTATTCTTAGCGTTGCTGCAAAGAATGTTGTTCTCAGAAATGATGTGATCCTTCTCTTGAGAATATCGCTTGTTAAATCTTTCTTGAAATCCAAGTTCATGTAGAATTTCTTTTCGTTTTTTAGGCGCAATTAAAGTTTCGTTTCTCCGAATTCTTGGTTAGTACATATTATTACATAACTTCTTTTACCAACTGTTTGTGACAACTCATCACCTTTGTTACTACCTCCAATTACATTAACACCTAATTTTCTTGACTTATATTACCAACCTTCACCTGTTTAGTTAAAATAACCTTAACCAATGGTAATTATCATTATAATAGAGGTTTTTTGTATTTCCCAATGAATGAAAAAACAAAACGAGATTGTTTTTACTGACGTTTCGCTATTTAATGCTAATAGCTTTATCATCAAAGTATTATTAAACCGGAATTTACAAAATCTCAGCATATATATAACAAAGAGTTAGAGGGTGAGAAAAATATAGACTTAGTTCAACTTAAAAGGACATATTGAAAGTCAAAATAACAATGAAGATCGTTCAAACCAAATATCAAAGGTAATAGTATATCTGTTATTATATCAAAATAAAGTTTACTAACTTGATCATCGTTCGTTAGTCTGAGGTCATTTTTGGTTGTCATGTTGGGGAATAGGTAAAGGTAACTAAACTAAGTGTAGGTTGTGAAATACTTGATCATCATTCGTCAGTCTGGGTCGTTTTTTGTTGTCAAGTTAGCGAACTGGTAAAGATAGTAAAACCAAGTGTAGATTGTTGGATTTTATCAGTGTGTAGAATTATGAAAGTAGTGTGTGTTTACATAGTGAACTTGCTCACCACATTTGCGTTGATTTTGCTACTTCATGGGAGAGGGTGTTGTAGCCAGGTTAGATTCTGTTTCAGTCCATCATTCCTATTCAGGCAATTTGGATTCAACTTGATATGAAGTGCTTCTGATATTAGACGTTCTTTGTGGTTTCTGAAGTTTTTCTGGATTATTTCAATATTGTCAAAATCAATTTTGTGGCCTGATTCTATAGCATGTAGACCTATGGCTGATGATTTTTGAAGTTTTTCTAGTTCAATTGGATTTCTTGGTGGTCGAAGAGAAGCTCTACGGTGTTCATTTCTTCTGATTTTGATTTCTCGAGATGTTTGTCCGATGTAGATCGCATCACATTCCGAGCATTTTATTTTATAGACACAATTAGAT